AAAAGATCTCCAACATCATTTGCATTCAGGTCACAGTTGCAGTTAAAAGAAATCAAATTAGTAGTTCACCTTTACATTTTGTTTAGATAGCCACACATTGTTTCTATACTCTGTTGTTAAATACTTAACAATATTTACATTTGTTTTTGGAAGAACTCTCTTTTCATTACCCCTTCTATTCAGTTACATGCTAGAAAGAAGGACTTCTGTGTTCATATCCTTCCGGACCAAAGCAAGTTAACACTGTTCTTTTTTTACTCCTATGCTGCCTTTGAGCAGACATCCTTTCAATGAATAGGTACCCTGTGTGTAGCTGGTGGGAAAGCTGTGGGGAATAGTTAACAGAAGCAAAATGATTATTCCTGATCCTTGTCTGTTTCTTCTGCAGTCTGCAAGGTCAGGGACAGTTTCCATTAATTGCCTTTCTATCAATAATTATATAAAGTATTCTATAATTACAGACATACTTGTTTCAAGAATTTATGAGAAAATTGTATTCAGTTCAGAAACATATCTGAGCACATTATGCAGCCAAATAAAGAATCCCCGCAACGAAGGCTTGAGAAAATAATTTTAAAATATAGAGGGATATTAGACCTACGACAAAAGGGGAAAATTTCGGATATAGATTTTGAAAACAGACACCTTTTACTTAAAAAGTGCATCGCATCCATTATACAAATCCCATTGACAACAAATTGCAATTTATGAGCACCATGGACAGACATTATTTCTTCATATTCCGATATAACATTTAATTTGCAGTGTAGGTTATATTTATGGGATAAATATAAAGAGTTCAAATAGAGTGTTTAAAATAATCATCTAAATTTTTTGCTTTATGAAAATGTAATTAAGATTATTTATTTACAATATGAACTTTAAAGTAGAATTTTTAAAGGAAAATAAAAAGAAAACCTTCCTGTTTTAGAAATACCTCAAATGCATTCACTATTCTTATTATTGTCTTATCTGTTTTCTGCCATAGAGATGCTTTGTGAAAACTAAATAAAAATCAGCTAACTACATTGCTTTATCTTTAGTGACATTTTGTTCTCTGAAAGTTTCCAAAGAAATGCGATAACCATTATTCCATATCTATCTATCTATCATCTATCAATCTATCAATCTATCTATCCATCCATCCATCCATCCATCCATCCATCCATCCATCCATCCATCCATCCATCCA